TCTGCCTTTCTGCTCCTCTGATGCTGCTTGGCCTGCTGTGTTCATCCAGCTCTACACCTTGTTATCCCAAATAGACACTGTGGAGGTCATTTTTAAGAGGTTGGGTTTCCGGAGCCAGGAATTCTTTCCTCTGCACATCTGATCAAGATGAGACAACTGGGGCCTTAAAAGAAATAAGTCCACAGAGGCCAGTATTCCATCACCAAGTCAGCCTTTATTTACATGTGGAGAGTCCTTGACACTGATCCAGCTCCCTCAGAGCCAGCTCTCAGAGTGAACAGAACCTCTGACACTCCTGTTTATATCTGTCAGCAAGGGCTCCCCGATTAGACCAGGTTAACAGCCTTCATCAGGGAACTCATATTCTATGATGTCCATCTGACAACAGTTAATATGAGCTTTTGATTAAATTTTAAGCAGAGGTTTTGCTGCTATGACACAAACACAAATCCAGTATGGGAAAGACAAGTAATAAAATTGCTGAAGAATTTTGAAAATATATGAAATTGACTTTTCAACCAAAAGCTAATAATAGCAGCTTGCATTCATATTGCACTTAAAAAAATTGCACTTTACAATGTGCAAGAGCAGAGGAATAAATTCTCATCTATAGGAGAGAGTTTAAATTGGATGAACAGAAGCTTAATCAAAAAAAGATGTCAAGAAGGCTCATAAAGGCAGAAGTGAAAAGATACAAGGGTTCAGTGTAGAAGTTCTAGGGAAATACCCATATAGTCATTATATGACCACAAAAGGACAAACCATAAAACAAAAAGCTGCAAATGGAATATAAGGCTGCAGGAAGAAAACAATGCTGAGGATTTTAAATTCCAAACATGGGCATTGGTGGGGTGGGGCTGTCAGGGAGACATTTCAAGTTACAAAGTCTGGGCTGAAAAGTAAAATTTGAGTGTGGAACAGAACATAGAACAATACAGCACAGGAACGGGCCCTTCGTGCCATGATATTATGCTGAACATGAAGCAAAATGTAACTAATCCCTTCTGCATGCCCTTGGTCCATATCCCTCTATTCCTTGCATATTCATGTGCTTATCTAAGAATATCTTAAACACCCCATCTTTAACTCCAAATTGTCTTTTGTGTTTGAAATATCTCTAACATAAAGAAGCATCATGTTTGAAGTCTTGGGACTTCCCAGATCTTTCATAATCATCAAAAGGAAGCTCAAATAAGGGAGCAGACTACGATGCTGGAGTTCATGGGATGCTGTGGTCCCTATGTCTGTCTTGGTTGGCAAATTAATATGCTGGAGGTAGGATTACTGTCCCCTGAAGAGCAGAAAGCCCCACCTCAGAGAAACAATCAGCCAGTAGCTCTCTGATATTAGCAGTAAAGCTGATTTATCTTTGAGTAGATATTTCATATATTGCATAATAATAAACAAATCTTCAACTGCTTGGAGTTGGAAGCAAAACACTGAGGGCAAAGCCAGGGAAAGGACATTGGCCCCGATGTTGCTCTTAAATCAGGCTCCTGAACCCACCCTGAGCTGAATACAGAGGGGCTCCCTGGAGCAAAATGTCCCTGTTATTTGGTTCTGATGTGTGCCCCTTTGTCCTGACTCCTGGGGCCAAGGCTACATTGTCAGGATGTAATGTGGAGAGAAGTTAATAATCACAGTCTCAGGGTTATTTCAGGAATCTAGTGCATTCAGGACAGTTTTAGATTTTCAAAGGTCCAGTGGGGTGTGTGGATGGAGGGAGCAGGAAATGCAACTGCTGCCTTTTCATGGTTCTTGAGTTTATTAAGGAGCTCTCCAAGAGGCCTGCTAGTTTGAGAATGGAATTTTGAAATATTTTTCCGGTGAACCCAATCTGCCTTCAGGTGGGCTTTCCACAGAGTCCTGGTAAATTGCTTTACATTAAAAGTTTTAAAATTTATTCTTGTAGGTCCAATAAGAACCAGCACAAACACATATCCTCCACTTCTCATCCATCACCTCTTTCTGCTGTGTCCCATTCTCAAGGAGCTGCCCACTTGAACCTGACACAGCTGATGCTGGCTTTTGCTGCTGGTGTCAGGCAGAGAGCTCCCGGAATCCCAGAAGCTTGGCACCACTATCGGAATGCCGAACTCTCCTCCTGCTCAATTAGTCCTTTTGCATTTGAAAATGGGGTTCGGGTTAGGGCAGTTCTGGAGTGATGTTGGATTTGAAATTCATTCATACACCCTGTCCTGAACTTCACTTTGAAAATCCAGCCACATGTCTCACAAGCCAAGCAAAAGTCTCAACCTTCTCCTCTAATTTGTGCTGTGGTGATGTACACCTTCTCCCCATTCACATATCTGACCATGACCTTTTGACATTTCTTGAACATGCCACTGGACATACAAGATTTTTAGCGACCGGGGGCTTGACAGAGCAGATGTGGAGGCTTTTTTTCCCTCACAATAAGGTATCACACATCTAAGACTGAGATGAGGAAGAATTTCTTCTCTCAGAGGGTAGTGAATCTGTAGAATTCTTTACTGCAGAGGATTGTTGAGGCTGGGCTATAAATTCAAGGCTGAGATAGTCAGATTTTTAATCAGTAAGGTTATCAAGGGTTGTATGGAAAAGGCAGGAAAGTGGAGTTGAGGATTATCGGATCAGTTATGATCACTTTGAATGGTGGAGCAGACTCAATCAGATGAATGGCTTACTTCTGTTCTTACATCAAATAGGCTTATGGCAATCCACCAGTATTATAAATAGCCAGAAACATGTTTTGTTCTCTAATAAGTAGAATATCTATCATCTACATTCCGATTATCTGGCTTCTGATTATCTGAAAATGTTTGCCAGACAAAATCATACATGAACGGCTTGGTGTTTTAACTAATGTTCCTTCAATTATTTTTAGCCTACTTTTTTTATTAGACAAATATAATGCTTCATTTTTATTGCACTGTCTACAGTATTGCTTGATCATACTTGAAAGACCAACTTGTTATTTTTTAAAATTACCATTAATTACTGGGGTTTTCCTCTATTATAGGCAATAATTGAGATTGTATTACATCCATATGATGAACATTTAACTTCATCCATGTGAAACAAAGAAATACAGTAACAAAATCTTACATTGACTCTAAAGCACTTTTAAAAACATAGCCATACTTACTGGTGGTGGCTTTTTTCTCATTTCGAAGTTTCTGGTGTCTCCAAAGCTAAGTGATGCAATGATAGGTTTCTGTCCCAGTGATGGTTCATCATCACTGTGCCAATCAATGCTGTCTTTGCCATTTCGGTACAGATTGCAAAGAAGAGAATTAAAGGTGTACCCTGTTACTTTCTCAATGTGATCTTTCAGCATAATCAGCAGAGGATGCCACTAAATGGAACACAAAAGCCTCCATTATCACCAAACACTTGTGTACCAGGGATAGCAGTACAGATGGGTAGTTAAAGGAGGTGAAATAACATACATGAGGGTTTGATTTCATAGCTGTGCGGGAGTATGTGTAAGGAAGGTCTCCATACCAGGCTGTCAGTCGCGGCTCTTGATATGATCTACCTGGAGCACATAAAATATTCACAAGCAAAAATAAGTCCTTTCACCAATAGCTTCAAATATACCACACTATGCTCTTTTGTATTGACACTTAAAACAGGACATTCACAATAACAAGTGGGAGTTAGTCATAAAGAAAATCAGCTACAATTTTCACTCAAGATCATTCTATGAATACTGCAAAGTATGTTAATATGAGTGTCCATCGAGGACAGGATTAAATTTGGTTGTGGCACCCCCACAATCTAACATTCTTCTGACACAATAAAGGTACCAGAAACCAGCAACAACCATGAAACCAATACAAGCCCCCTCAGGTGGTTGGAATTTGAAACAAAATCCGCATTAGGCATTATCATTCTTTTTTTAAACATACTAGAATCACTTCACAAAACAATCATAGAAAGAACTGATCTGTAAGAAAGTTTAACTTGGTTAAAACAATGGCACCCTCTTCGAAATGGGTACTGGTCAGGGATTGTTCAACAAGTCTGCTTTTAAAAATAATTTGTATAAGAAAAAGGCATGCCCAGTACAGCTTTGGTGAAAATTACTTCTCATCCTGTTCTTAAGCATGTGATTAAAAGTTCAAGGCAGAATAACGTAAATTTCTGGACATCAAAATATTTAGCCCAAATCTACAATACAGGATCAGCGTTGAAGGCATCTTTGTAGAGTTCCAGGCATTAAATACATGCCCATTGGAAGTTCATCATTTGCAATCAAGTGTCAGGCATGTGTGTGTGTTGGGTGTTCTTTTATCAGAAGATGTAGCCAATTTACTAAGAAACAATGAGAATGTTTTTGTTTGCTCATTGCATATGTAGCAGTAGGAAAAAGACAAATTTAACTGTACATGTGTTATATTCCAAGGGACATTAATTTTTTCGATCAGGTAAATATTTACCAATTTAAAGTGAAAGTTGGCTTATATTGTGATTAGAATAAGCATGAAATCAAATTGCACTTACATTAGATTAGAATCAAATGAGAATTAGGATTGGAATGTGAGCTTTACAGCTAAAACAAAGTAATAGAGGAACAATAAATCTACATTTACAGAATATGTTATACTATAACAAAATAGAACAGGGATTATTAAGGCATGCACCCGAGTTTGTAGGCTGAAAAAGGACACCTAACAGAACTGCAAGGGTTCAGTGTTTTAAATGGTCAGGAAGCTGGCACAATCAGCACGGAAATACCTTTACTGCAGTTAGTGAATTAAAAGATATGTCTGAGTAAAGGCACAGTACTGAAGTATTCCTTGTAAGAGGAATCAATTCTACGTAGGTTCAGTACCCTGTATAAGAAAACGGCTGACCAGCAATTGTAAATTTTTTCCAAACCTTGCAGATTCTTAACCTCAGTGTTAATGCTCCAGAAAACATTTTAGCTATTAGTTCATTTGAAATAAATTTCTGAATAACTTTGAACAATAAAAATTAATAAGACTAGAATCAGCCAGTAAGCAAGATTTTAAATTATGAATCAAATAGTAAGTGTGAGCAATTTGATCAATTTGTTGAGATTATTAAAATAAAAAACAGTTCCAGTGACTATTAAAATCTCTACTCAGCCATTTTGCTCAGAACGTGTAGTTTCTGTGCTTGCCAGTTTAAAAATAATAGGTGCACTGTTAACATTAACTCAGCAAGCATTTTCTGTCAGAAACTAGAATTTTATCATCACACTTCATCAATAATTGCTGCAAATAAGATGCGAACTTCAATTCAAATGAGATACTGCACAAATCAAAAAAAAAATTGCATTAAGCTTTAAAGGCTCCAGAAATACCATAGATCAAATTCTTACAAGTTCATCATTAACCATAAACCAATGAGCCTGGAAATGTAAAATAACTTAAAGCTAATTTTTGTTTACATTTGTGTAATTTTTCACCACAACTGTTCCTACAGGCAGGTATCAGTGGCTCGGGTGCAGGTTTTACAACTTAAGGTCTGTGAATCTGACAGTGTGTCTGGTGTTTCTACAGAGTGTCTCTGTAGGCTGGTCCATGCCCAGTTAGATTTCTTTCTCCATTGAATGCAAAAGCAGTACTGCAAATACCTGCCTTATCCAGATATGCAAGCAGAGAAATTCCTGAGCAGGTCAAGAATCAGCTCCATCGCATGAGTTTCCAGATTGTTTAGAATAGGACTTATCAGATTCCAGTTGTGAATTCTGGTGAATGGCTTCCAATTCTTGCTGCTCGTTCAAAGGAATTTATCTCTTTTTGTTTCTGAAAGGTCCTGTGCAGTTCAGATCTGAAATTCCTGAGCACTCATGAAACACTGCTGATTACCTTTTCTCGTGACATAGTGACACCAATGGAAGCCAAACAAAAGAACAATTTTGGATCAATGCAGATCTTTGGAATGGAGCTCAGGTGGCATGGCAAGGTGTCAAAGATTTGAAATGATACAGAGTACAATAATGCTCGGAGGTTATAAGTTCTAAATTCTTGACAAATGTATCTAATTGAGGCTAGTTCTCCCGAATAAGAAAAGTGAGAATTCACATCACTAACACTTTCTGCTGGCTGGTTCACAAGTGTATAGACAGAAAACTTGGACGGGGAAAAGAATTTGAAAAATGTACAAGAAAGTGAACAAAATGCCTATATTTTCTAAATGTTGAGGCATTGAAGTAAACTAAATATTTCTATCACAAATACAATATGCTATAAAAATTACAATATTTCTTAAATGAAACAAACCCTCTCTGATGTTCGATTTTTGCTGCCAGGGTATTTCCGCATACAGCTGTTCAAACATCCAATCAGCTTCTTTTGGGTCAATAAAACCAGGCTTTAGATGCAGTCTGATAATGGAAAAAGAAATGAATTAAAAGTAGGGAAAATGTTCTCTGAACAGGCTATAAAAAGTAGACATTTAATGATTCAATTTTTAGTTATTTATTCATTCATGAGAAGTGAGTTTCATTGGCAAGGTGAATATTTATTATTTATCACTATTGCCCTTGAGAAGGAAATGGTGACTCAGACTCCTGGATACAACAGAGTGGCTTTGTAGGCCAGAGGGGAGTTAGGAGTCAAATTCATTGCGTTAGGTCTGCAGTCACATCTAGGCCAAAGCAATTAGGCACAACAGATTTCCTCCCCTAAAGGACATTAGGGAGCCAGTTGGGATTTTACAACTGTCCAGTAGTTTTATGGTGACCATTATCGATCCTAACTATTCAGTCCAGGGTAAGCATTTACTTGAATGCTGCCACTCTACAATCCATTTGGTGATGCAGCAGTTTCAATTTTTTTGTTTTTGTAGGAAAGAAGGATTAAAAGTAGAAACAATAGAGTCAAATGCCCATTGTGTACTACCATCTAGAAGGACAAGGGCAGCAGATACATGGGAACACCACCACCTGCAAGTTTCCCTCCGAGCCATTCACAATGCTGAAGTACATCGTTATTCCTTCAGTGTCACTCAGTCAACATCCTTGAATTGTCCCCCAACGACACTTATAACACACGAACTGCAGCGATTCAAGAAAGCAACTCACCGCCATTTTCTCAAGGGCAACTAAGCATGAGCAATAAATGTTGGTCGGCCAGTGACACCTAGCGTCCCATGAGTGAATTAAAAAAAACTCCTCGGTTTAAATTGTATGAAACTCACCAGAGGTACAGACAGCTCAACCAAAGAACTGAGCACACAGACTTCTCTACAGGCTTAGTTTCTGAGTAGAGACCTGTGCTCAGGAAAGAGCAGGGCAAATAACTTTGGCTGCTCCCTCCAAATAAGTCAAAAAAAATGAAGGTGGGGTATACGCTCTTCATCTCACTCTTAGCTGTTTCCCATGTTCCATGGGGTCTGTACAAAGCTGGTTAAATCACCCGTCAAATCAACCATCATTTTTGGACTGGTAGATGGTTTTTAAACACTGTTTTCATCACAAGGTGTAAACTGTTATACAGAAGTACTAAAACTATTTTTCATTCAAAAAGCCAAAAGTAAAAACTTTTCTTCCTTCAGACAAATAGTATCTAAATGACAGCTCTAGCAATCTGTAGCACTGTTTTTTTACTGGAAACAATCTGTCCCTGAAATGCACCCAGTGATATGAAAGAAAGTTTGAGGGCAGAGGTCACGTTATTCATTTTCATGTAATTTATATTTATATTCTCTTCAGAGCACTAGAGATAAATTGCAGTGGTATAAATACCAAAATAGGAAGAGAGGGTTACCATCCACTTCCCCTCTCTATTGCTCTAAATTAGGTGGCAGGGCAGTGTGACATGTGTTTAACAGTGCAGACAGAAAACAGTGTCAAACTGAATGGTACATATATTGATCTGAATTTTCCCATTTTCAGCCAGTGATTTTTTTGAAGATTCATGGCACCCAGTCAGCCATGGCTCTTGGTGACTTTTCTCATGCAGAATTCCCATTCTTCACCTTATTAATTGTACATACAAGCTCAATGGTATCTATCTCAGGGAATCAAGGTGGAGGAGACTAGCCAGCGCTGACTGATGCCATACGCTCCAGCTGCACACCACTTCAGATGCTGCAAGCCAGAAACTGCCGCTCACATACTGGTGCCCAAGGCTCTACATTCAGGACATGGGCCAGAAAGGGATAACAAGGTGTAGAGCTGGATGAACACAGCAGGCCAAGCAGCATCAGAGGAGCAGGAAGGCTGATGTTTCGGGCCTAGACCCTTGGAGAGGAGGCAGTGTTGTGTCCTGCTGACTGTCAAAGAGTCTGAGCCTGCCTATATCCCAGTTGCTGCCTAGGTCAGTGTGTGGCCAAAGCAAAAAATAATTCACAGCAGTGGATGAAGAAAATGAATGATCTTCGGCACTTCACACACTCAGAGGGCCATAACTCACTCCAGCTTTGCCACTGCATACACACCTCACTAAGGGTTATGGACCGCAACTCTCAGTATTACATGCATCATATCCACTCATTAGCTCTCACCCACCTCATCCTCCCAAATTACTAACCATTACCTACCTTTCTGCATTTTCTACTCACTCACTGGGAACACCTCACCAGTCTCCTGCTCCTGCATCACCACTAAAAGGTTTCACTTCATCAATTGTACCAGGTCCCTCCTTTTGTCACACTGCAGGATTGGCATCACCCCAGGACTAATGTCTTCATAACACACCAAGTAACGTTTCTGTAATTCCTAGACTGGTTGCATTTCTTCTGCAGGACTGACTGTGGCCCAATCCTCGGACAACGAAAACCAAGCACCTGGCTTAACACAGCCTCAGACCTGGACTGGAATCATACCAGGCCCTTGAGTGGATCGTGGTTGTACCTCTGACTGTAATTCCCGTTAACCCCAAGCTTCCTGTTGACATTCATGTATGGCTATTTACTTAAAGCACATGCAGTATATTCACCAGGTAAGCTGGTGGCAAAAACTATAGCTGTGACACTGATGTAGCACAGTGCCATACAGCAACATGAAATTCCTCTTGATTGTTCAATGCTCACTGCTGCGATAAGCTATCTGACTCTCTCACTGTGGTAAAAAGCAATGCTAGCCACAGAGGCTGGCAGCCCTCAAGTAAAAGCACAGTAAGTGAGTACTAAGAAACGAAACTAAGACAACAAGCATTGTGTGTAGATGAGTAAGATGCATTCAGTCCATCAAATCTGCTCTGCCATTCATGGCCGATCTGATAATCCACAACACCACTTTCCTTTCTTTTCCCCATAATCCTTGACTCCCTTCCTGATTAAAAATCTGTCTCATTTATACATTTGATGACACAGTCTCAACAGTCCTCCTATTGTAAAGATTTCTGCAGATTCACAACCCTTTGAGAGAAGAAATTCCTCCGAAGGCCACTGACAATCATAGTTCCTATTTCTTCTCAGAAACCCTCCTTAGTTAAGAAGAACTGGGTGTGAGTGAAATTCATCATGGTTGAACAATTTGATTGGATATTATGAAGCAATAAAGCATAAAGTACCACTGAAATTACATCTCAATTTGAGACGTGCCTTTCAGGAGTCTTGGGGGGGAAATATTTGCTTAAATTTGAATATCATGATTCAGCACTGATAGCAGGATTTTTCATACTAATTATTCACAAAGAAAAATGTATAAAGATAAGAAAATCATCAAATGAATCATCTCCGTTGATTTTTCACATGAAGAATAGCAGGAAAAATCTTTAATTCTTACCTGGAAACTCCTGTTGGCCCACTGCTAATTTCATAAAAACCTTCTTTGCTTCAGAACAAAGAAAAAGACAGTTTTAAAATCTGGGGAGGAAATCTACAGGATGTGTTGATACAATGCAGAAAATACGTCAATAGCATTACATGCATAACTTAGGAACACCACCAGCATCGTCCAGTTTCAGTAATCTACTGCTTTTCACATTGATACTTAGTTTATATTATAGGTGAAACACTATTCTATGGCACAAAAACAGAAATTGCTCGAGAAACTCAGCAGGTCTGGCAACATCTGTGGAGACAGAAACAGAGTTGATATTCCGAGTCCAATGACCCTTCTACAGAACGGTTCTGTGACTAAGAAACCGACAATTCAAAAGTAAACAACAAAATTAAAGTTAATATTACAAGTAGTCTTTATAACAATCTTTGCAGCTAAGAGCATAACTTTGCAATACTTTTAATTTTAACATCTCTTTCTGCTTTCAACATTTTAACATTCGATATCATCTTTTGGTGAAAAAAGCAAAACGTGAAAACTGCAGACATTTCCATATCTGTCAATAACACAAGTCTATGCAGCCTACTACTGCCAGTGGAGTGAAAAAAAAACAAATGTAATTGAAATAATCATTAGCCTTAAGTGGAGATTAATTAGATCTTCTTTCCTGGGAAGAGATGGAGCCTTGACATTTATGGGTGGAGGGGGGCTAATGCTAAAATGCCATAAAGCTGCCAAATTTATGTGGCAGGGTGATAGATGGAGGAGTGAGGGGGTGAGAAATTTAAATTTTATTACTTGTTTGCCTTAGCATACTAGTTGAGACAAGTTCAAACTGCAAAGGCAACAATACCAACACTTCATTTCCTGCCTGAAATGTTCTAGTTGCTGAATATTTATCAGCGCAATTTTTTTTATTTTTGCCTGTGAAACTTCTAAATTCTCTTGTTCTACCTGCTCTTGTGAGTCTTTCGAAAAACATGAGCCCCTCCTCCAACGTTGAGGATTTGTCTTTCAGTCTTAAGAACTTTTCCTTAACCAACTTTAATGAGCCACTAATCCCATGGGCATAGATCAATTCAAATGGACTCAACCCAGTGGATTAATTAGGGGAGTCTCTGAAAGCAAACAGTAAGAAATACACTCCTTTGTCCCTGTCCTGGAGATATTCATGACAGTATGCTTTAATCATGGTTATTAGAATGATTTGCAGTTGACTTCAACTGTTTTATGCCCAACCTGCTAATGATGTCCTCGAAAATATCAGACGTAAGTTAGAACTTTGATAAGATTGTATTTCAATTGGTTGGCCATAACGAGCAAAAAGCAGATTAAACACTACAACATGAGCTGCAATGGTATTTAAAGGAATAGTTTCTAGAATTCATATCATATTAATAGCATATTCATACGATATGAAATTAATTAATAACATATATAATTGTAAGAACATACCTCCAACCTGATTTTGTTACTCATAATGGCCCCACATAACCCACTGACACTTGACTGAACAATTCTCATCTCAGTCTTTGAAGAATCAAAGGTTCTGGTTTAGTTGTATTGCACGATGTTGCCTTGAGGTCATCGCCAGATGAAATACCTGAATAATTACATTTTCAGTATGGCTTCATACCCTGCAATAGCAACTTCATCCTGACCTTGAAACATATCGCTGTTCCTTCAGTGTGGCCTGGCCAAAATCATGGCATCCCCCCTCCAACATCATTGTGACTGTACCACAGCACATGGACTGCAGCTGTCCAAGAAGGCAGCTCACCACCACCACCTTCTAAAGTGCAACTAGGGATGGACAATAAATACTGGCCTATAAACACATCCCATGAGCGAATTCCAAAAAAAGTGTTACTCTCAACACCTTCTTATGATTTGGGCAGTACCACTATTTGATGAACTGTCCATTCACTGCCTACAGCTAACTTACTTAACTTGGGGTCTACTTTCTCAGCCTCAATTAATGAAGACATGGCGAGCACTTCTTTTGAATTATCCTTATTGTGAGTGAGAGTTTTGACTACCCTACCATCCATCTGAGGTATTACTTTGACCTCTGGGTGTTGCACTTTGTTTAGCCATTGCTCCAGTCACCACACAAAATAGGAAAATACCAGAATCTGTTCTTGCAACTGTTCTGTCACTTCAACCTTGCTCAGATTATCCATGATTATAGGTGAAGCTATAACTTTCACTCCAGCTGATTCATTCCCCAGAAATAAATCAACTGCATCCAAAGGTAATTTCTAAATTTCCCTGACTACCACCAGTCCATACAAAGTCACATGCCATTTGGATATTCATACAATGGAATCGGGATTTACACTCCACCTATTCCACTTACTCACACTTTCGCTTCCATTGAAAACATAAAATGACATCTCCATTCAACAAGAGAGTTTGAGTAGCTCTTTTATCCCTTAATATAATTATGGGTGTTTGTGCTTCATTTGAAGAATAATGGGTCATTTTACCTTTAAACAAAAAACTTTTGTATGTCTCATCTACCTAATTCATTTCTTTGGCTCTCATATTGCTGTTTACCTGCAGATTCTTAGTTGCAGCTAAAGCTCCAATCTGATCTGTGACATTTTCCTTAGATTCCCTTTTTGGACTCATTCTTACAACCCCTAATAAGTCCCACGGCCTTCCCTCACAAGTTCCAGCAAATGTCTCATTTTGTAAACCAGGAAATGGCAAAGAAGTTGAATAAATACTTTGTACCAGTGTTCACAGTAGAAGACAGTAGCAGCATTCCAAAATTACTAAATATTCAAGGGGCAAAAACAAGAGAGGAAATAAATACAATAACTATTACTAGAGAAAAAGTGCTTGGAAAACTAATGGGGCTAAAGACCAATAAGTCCCCTGTACCCAGTGAGAAACATCCTAGGTTACTAACTGAAGTAGCCGCAAAGAATGTGGGTGCACTGGTAATAACCTTCTAGGAAACTTCAGATTCTGGGAAAGATCTGGAGGAGTGAAAAATTGCCAATATAACATCTTTATTTGTAAAGGGATGGAGTCTGCTTCCGTGAATCACAAAGAGCTAGCATTCAAGTTCAGCAGGTAATGGGGAAGGCAAATGTAATATTAGTGTTTATTTCAAAGGAAACAGAATAGGGAGGTTTTGCTAAAACTAACAAGGCACTTGTCAGACCACAGTTAGAATGCTGTGAAGAATTTTCAGCCCCTTAGCTAAGGAAAAAAGGACTGTCACTGGAGGCAGTCCAGAGAAGGTTCACTGGGTTGATACAGGTATGGAAGGACTGTCTTAAGAAGACAGCTTGAGTAAATTTTGATTTTGGTCTTTGGGATATAGAAAAATAAGAAGTGATTTTATTGAAACATACAAAATTCTTAGGGACCTAGGCAGGGCAGGTGCAGAAGGGACGATTCCCTTAATGGGAGAATCTAGGACGAGAGGGCATGGTCTCAGAAAAAGAAGTCACACATTCAAGATAGAGATGAAAATGTGAGAAAGTAAAATAAAAATATGCAATATGCTAAACAAATGGCTTGACACCGATTTACAAAGTTGCAAATAAGGCAGATCTTAAATGAATGAAACTGTAATATCCCAATGCCTACATTGGCCAGCCAAGGTTGGTGGTAGACACTGTAAGAGAACACCCAGTGATTTCTCAATTAGGAATCAAGGAAAGGGAGCTCCATTTCAAATGTGAAATTGAATCCAGCACACAGCAATTTAGAAATTCTTGCATGCATATAAAGATTCAATGTAGCAAATGCATCACCTACATACTGGAAATATGCATGGGTAGGCACATACTAAAAGCTACACATATGATGTCAATTTTGAGGTTGGTGGGAAGAGTTCAGGGGCAGGGAGAATACCTAGCAGATCACCACGCTTGCCCCTTAGTAGGGAGGGCCTTGGGTCCCAGGAGGAGTAGCTAAGGAGGAAAAGAGGGAAGCACCTCACTTAAGGACCCCCTTTCAACATTAAAAATTAAACTTACCACCCATAACCTTCTCATAGTAATAAAAAGCAGTATTTAATGTAGGCAAAAGGGATCCTACCTGCTGGCTGGAAAACTAGTGAGAGACCCATGCCATCTCTTTAAGGAAAAAGGTCCCTAATTGGCTAGCAGCAGAACAGCTCCAGGGTATTCTCAGAGATTGCGGAGAAATTGGGCAAAGTGAAGCAGTATTCTCCACAGCGACACAATGCTTAAAGGGATAGACAGGGTAGATGTAGAGAAAAAGATTTCTCTGATCGGCGACACAGTTTAAAATAAGGGCAAAGCCACTTAAGACCAAGGTGAAGAGAACAAGGTGTAGAACTGGATGAACACAGCAGGCCAAGCAACATCAGAGGAGCAGGAAGGTCTAGGCCTGAGGCGTCGGCCTTCCTGCTCCTCTGATGCTGCTTGGCCTGCTGTGTTCATCCAGCTCTACACCTTGTTATCTCAGATTCTCCAGCATCTGCAGTTCCTACTATCTCTAAGGTGAAGAGAATCTGTTTTTACTCAGAGGGTTGAGGAATTTCTGTCACTGAGTATGTTTAAAGTAGAGAAATTGACAGGTTTCTAAATACCAATGACAAGAAGGGTTATGGAATAGTGTGGGGAAAAGTCCCTGAAGTGAATGATCAGCATTAATTGTCATAAATGGTGAAGCAAGTTTGATGGGCGGAATAGCCTACTCTTATTCCTATGTTCCTATGAAAGGTCCCAACAGAATCTGACCGATTGCCAGTTAGAGGTAAGAGTCCTGCTGAAGAGCTACAAGACCAGAAACAGGTGGATACTGCCAGTAAGACTCCATATTGTTGATGGATCGCAATCCACAAGTGAATGGATAGGGGGAGATTATGGGGTGGGGGGTAATGGGGCTCAGCTGCACAGGAAGCAGAATGACTATCAGCCAGCATCCCCCCACTTCTTGATGCTTGTGTCTTTGAAGAAGGAAAGAAGGACCTTTGGTGGAGGCCCATACAGGTTCCCTTTCTGCCCAATTAAATGCCACCAGACCCCACCATGACACCAAGCACACTTTGAGAGGGGACAGCA